TTTCACATTTTTATAAGCTTTGATATAGTTTTACCTTTTTCAGAATTTTGCAGATTTTTTAATAAGGTTTTAATATAATTTCATTAAAATTTATTTTTTTTATTTAGACGACTTGCAAAACCTCTAGGTTTTATCCAGTAACCTTAAATATAAATAATATATTTTAAAATAATTTTACGTTATTTAATATATATTGATAAATTATACAATTGTTTAATTATTAGAAAGATATTGTTATTATTACTAAAGAGATTCAAAAGATAATTTTACATTCTATTGTTAAATTATTTAAAGAATATCTTAAAGGTTATATTAAAAAGTATTTGAAAGAATATATTAAAGATATTGAAAAATATTATTAGGATTATCATTTTTATTTAGAATTTATGATTATTGTAAATAATCAAATTATAACTATTATATTATTTCTTTACTAATACTTATTATCTATTAATATTTTCATATGAATTTTATATTAGTATTTTGAAAAAATGTGTTATTATTGAAGTACTATTATTAAAGATAGTTAGTTAGCACTTTAAAGTATTTTCAAAAGTTTCTGAAATAAAGGTAAATATAGGTATAAAAATTGCTGAATGGAAAAGAAATCTAAGAATTATTGAAACATATATTAAATAGTAAGAGTTTAATAATACTAGTCTTTTAATAATAAATATGATTATTATAAAGGTTATACCTAAAGAAGACAAAGAAGTCTATCTTAAATTTTTAATAATAGTATTTACTCTTGCAATTTGTAGTATTATCTTAAATTTATGAAGTAAGAATATCTGATATACTGAAGAAATTATCAAGAAATAATATTCAATTTTCTTAATAAATATTAAATTTCTTATTTGTATTAGTTATGTTTTTAATCAAACTTTTGTTAATAAAATATTTTAAATATGTAATTAATTTTAATTAAGAATAATATTACGAGTACCTATTTATAATGACTTGTAAGATAATTTAATATTAAAAAATTATAATAATACTATTGAAAAAAAATTTTAAATAAATCTTACTATGAATTTGAAAATGTTAGATTTTTCAAATAAATATAATACAAGTAATATAAAGGTAAATATATAATACTTTATTAATTTTATAAGAATTTTTTTATTTTTTTTATAATTAAGACACTTTAAAGCTTTTTAAAATTTCTAATTCTTAATCAATCATAATGATAACTTAAAAATTTATTATATATATAACTACAATTATATATGTTTATTAATATTTTCTAAATTCTATATATCTAATATTGATTTATTATATAAATATTAGAAATGAAGATTTCAAATTATGAAATATTACAGTTTTTAATAAATAAAAGAAATTATAAAAAATTTACTTATCTAAATTTACAATAAAATTTATAAATAAGTAAAATGTTAAATTTTTAAAATTATTATATTTTTAATTTTTTGCATATATTTGGATAGAATGGGAATTAGTGAAATTATTCATAACTAATTAATTATATATATATCATCTTGTTTGATCTCTTAATAAATTTTTTTTAATATTATTTGTATTATCTTTTTTTATCTAACTATCTCTATTACTTTTAATTATTTTATTTAAATTTATTCATAATTAATTTAAAGAATTTCTTGCTAATAATTTAAATTCTAGAAAATAATTAAATATTAATGCAGATTTCATTAATTTAAATACATATATTGTATTCATATCTAGTTTATTATTAGAGTCATCAAGTAATTTAAATGTTATATATTTTTATACTGTTGAATAGTTTTTTTTCAATTCTATTTTTTTTATTTTATTTGTTTTTATATAACTAAAATATGTAATATAATTTTTTTCTATAATTCTATCTTTAATTCATTAATTATCATATTATTAAAAAATCTTTTAAATTCATATCCTTATTAATAAAAAACTCTTAACATTTAAATATTACTTTAAAACGAAATAAAACATGTATAATTATTATTCATATATTAGATTTTATTTAAAAGAAAATGATAAAAGAATGATTTATATAAATCTAATAATTTTATTTTATGTAATACAAAATTTATTTATGTAATATAAAATATAATAATACATATAATAATATATATAAAAAAATTTACAAATGAAAAAAAACTAAATGATTATGTTAATTTTAAAATTTTATATCATGAAAATCTAAAAATTTTCTGGCTTTAATTAGAATTAATTTAAAATATTTTTTAATTTAAATTGAATATTTTTATTACAATTACATAATTTTAATTTTATACTATATTTATAATTTTATTTATAATTTTTGTAATATATTAAAAAATTAGAATTATTATAAAGATACAATAATGATTATTATTATATAAATTAATTTAATGATAGATTTAATTTTAATTAATATAAATTTAAAATAATATTTTAAAATATTTATATATTTAACTTTTAATTATAAAATTATCTTTATATTTTAATTTATTTAAAAGTTTTAAATCAACTTTTATTATAGTAAATTTATGTATTTATAAGAAAAAAATTGTCAAACATTTTACTGGTTTGGGAAATTTTCAGGTAGATCAAATTAGATTACATAATAGATAAAATCATTTGCTTTCATTTACACATGAAATTTAATTTCATATAATTTTAATAAACATTTACAAAAAGAATATGACAATTGTTATGTATTGATTTTCCTAATTTAGACATACAAATGAGTTTAGAAACCTTAAAAAAAACGCCGAGGGTCTGGATTGTTGAGAACCAGTCAGGAGTGATCAACAAATCTCATGTATGATTACATAATTATGAGAGAGAGGAACCGAGTTAAAAAATTTGTATAATATAATTGGTATTCTGTTTACGTAAATTATTAAATGGCAAAATTTTATTGTTTGAAAAAAACCATATACAATAAAATTTTTACTTTATTTCCTTGATTTCTGGTTAGATCTAAATAATTTATTATATATTTCGTGTATATCATTCAAGATCATTAGCATCATATTATATAATTGACTCTGGGTCAACATTTTGTTTGTTATTTTATTTTATATTTTATATATATATATAACTTAATTAAAATGGTGACTATCATTAGGAAAAAAAAAATTATCGTTCAATTACTCTCATTTATCTTTGGTTATGTGTGCAAAGGAAAAATATTTTCAAACGCCCTCTTTCCAATACAGTTACCTTGTCACACGAATTTCCGCAGTATTTATTTATATGTACCTTTATAATTAAAAAAAAGTTGACTTATTATCCACTCTTAAATTTGTTGTCCAATGACATTCTTCATTTTACTATTACAAGTTTTAGCTAAAACTTACATCATCAGGATTATAAATTTCAAAAATATAAACACCTAAAAAACCAATCTTGTGATTTTTATCTATATATATACATTTTTATTTATTTCGTTCATTGATAATTTTACACACCATCTTTCATAAAAATAAAATAACGTCCATGAAGACTTCGAAGCCAACATCTTTTCCTTCAGTTTCAACAACCGACTTCACCGAGAATACACACACAGATTCTATAACTAACGACTCTGTTGTTAGCTCAACAAATATTAACTTTAATAAAAAGGTTGCTTCCGAAGAATCTCGAAAAGATCTTACACACTATGTCAATATAATCAACCAGTTTTTACGTACAAGTTCAGTTCTCATTGAAGGAGAAAATGGCGATACAAGATTGCAGTTTGCTATACAGCATCTGTATGAAGGTCTTGAATTTTATCCCGATGCATATGAGTTAAAGGTAATGTATAATATAAAAAAAATTTTTTTATGATAATGATGGTTTTCCTAATATTCAATTAGGATGAGAATATTTGTTGTGATAATTTTTATGAAGAAAATAATTCGTTTATCATTAAAGTTGCTTGATAATATGACCAAACGCGTAAATTGATCTGCTTGTCAAATGAATTTTCATTTGATTCTTCAAGCTATCAAACTTGCGTTCTCGCGGAGTTCTTTAATGTGCTCGTGAATCATTAGTATAAATAGTCAAATTTTCTCAACATAACACCTTTATATGAAACAGTTCCTAGCCCACAGAATATCAATCAAAGAAGGTGACATGACTCAGGCAATTAAATATTTTGATGAATTGTAAGTTCTACTTTTTCATTCTTGTAATGTTATATATTTACAAATTTATATATTTTACATTTGGAAAATGTTGAATATTAAAAATTCTTCATGAATTAAGAAAGTAATCTTAATCTTTATAAAAAATTATTATATCTCAATTATTTAATAATAAAAATTTATTAGACGAAGACTTTTTCCTAATCATGAACCGCTGAAAGAGTACCTAGTTCAAATAACTCATTCCGTGCGACATCGATTTACGGACGATAATTTCAGTGAGTAAAAAAAAAAAAATCTCAACGCTTTTATATATTATATTTGCGCATAGACCGTTTAACTTTGTTCAAAGATATATTTGTAAAGTCTTTCAAGCGAGAGTTAACAGATTGAAATCATGGGATTAGCCCGATGATTACATTCTATTATCTGAAATTTATATCAACAAAAGCAAGACTTTTCTTTTGAATTCAAATCTTTTAAAAGGGAGAGAGAGATGCTAACCTTGTTATTGCTAAAAAAAAAAAAAAAAAAAAAAAAAAAAAAAAACTACCTATAAGGGATCTGGCGTGATGATTGTAGAATAATCGCGTCAACGAGTAGAAAATTAATCTCATATGTTGCCTAACGGGTGAGAGGATTGCTTTAGGGTAATTGTATTAAAGGTTTGAGAGAATTTTTAGAAATATTTTCTCTCTTGGCTTGGTAAAGCATGTCGATTCGTAACTATGTGCTTCATATATATTTACTTCATGTTTATTTATAAATAATATAAATCAACTCGAGTATAATTCCTCAAATGATCATTGCTTTCTCTCTTTTTTCATAATTACTTTTTAGTGTTCTTTCTTAAACTTCCGGCGCGAACTCAAAAAGATATTTTAATACATAGTGCAGGTAATATCCATTAAATTTTGCATTATGACTGATGTACAAATACGTGTTAAATTTTTAACTCTTATTTCTACGCTAGAGTACCATGAAATGGCTGGCGCGTATTTAGATGCCTGTAGATTATACGTTCTACTTCTAAAAGCATACCCAGAAACTGTCGCTTTATATGGGGTAATTTGATCCTATATTCTAAATTGTCATTGTATTTTGTTAAAAAACCAAATTTAATATCAATTTTTTATTGTAATACTATTTTTCTACTTTCTTGGAAATTTAATAATTTCATATCGATGATTAATATAATAATTATTTTTATTTTTATTTTTTATTTTTTTTTTTATATTTTTTTATTTAATAAAATTAAAAATAAAAGTCACATGCTGCTCAACTCGCAATTCAATGCGAAAACCAGAATCAGCCATTACCTGTTTCCAATTCTTACAGAAAGATATTAGGTTGGTAACCCCTGTATTAATTATCAATCATAAGATCATTGTTAGATGTTAGCATGGAATGGGTTTATAAAACGTTCCCTCAGTGGTTCACTACTCTAGAGTATTTAATTAATTGTAACCTAATTTTTCTTTCCAAAAGTGGAAGATATTTTGTCCGTAATCCTCCACCAAAAAATCATAGTATCTGATAACAATCTTCCGACGGAAATTCCAATTTATCAACCGAAAACTTCCAATGCCTCCATATCCTTAGCCACATCTTCAGCGTCACAACCAAATTCTTCTCAATCTTGTTTACATGTCACTTATAACCAACTGAAATCATTACTTGAAAAGGCACAGGGGTTTTATATTGCCAACAAAGATTGGCGAAAATTGTTCGAAGTTTCATTAGGAGTAATGAATAGTTGTGGATACTTGAGATTTGAAAGGTACTTTCATTGTAATGGTAGGGTTAACTAACCCACTGAATTCAAAAATGTTTATTTCATTTTTATTCCTTCTTAATATCAATTTTTATTATTTAGTTCTCCAAGAACAACAATGGTAGATCTTTTTGACGATCCACATCAATTACCGTCAAAATTATTTTCACTTTTGAATCAAAAACAAATATCTCTGGTTAATAAAACATTCATGATGCATGATACAACACCGCATCCTTTTGCTGTATCTATAGGTATCGCATGTTTCGTATTATGTTGTCATGAATTTTATGAATATGTAGCTGGACTAAAAAGTACGTAAGCCTCAGTTTTCTCTAAACATTTTAAAGAATTCATCATTGATTTTATTTTTTATATAATATTTGAAGGCAAAAGAACGTGCTTAATTCCAATTTTTCCAACTGGACAATTCGCTATCATGACACCACCCTCATCACCTCTATTAACATCCACTTCACTTAGCTCTTACGCTCATCATGTTCCATGCGACGAGACGAGGGTTAATAAAAGGAGAAGGCTCAGTCTAAGCTTTTTATTATCAAAAGGATCTAGTAACAAAGAAATTGGTGAAACAGAATGTGAAAGTTACATTGATGATTCAGGGATATCTTTTAAAAGATTAAAGCACATTAATATTAATACCGCAAATGATGAAAAAAGTAATAAATATGGGGGCAATAACGTTATGAATGTTAAAAACTTGTTGATTGATAATGATAATGAGCAACAAAACCAAAATTCAATCAAAACTAGTCATGAACTGAATATGGAACAAATTAAATTATGGGAAGGTATTATAAACCCTTTAAAAGAATTGTTTTTCATTTTATCATGGATATTTGTTAATCGATCATTGTTATTACATTAATTGATTAATTTTTAGAATCATATATTTCTTCAGAAACAATAACTCATGATGCAATGTCATATATGGAACGTGCTTTGACGTGTTGGCAGCTTTTAGAGGAAATGGTCTCACGTGGAGGAAATGATCCTAAAGTATTGGATAAAGGTATAATTTTAACAGTTTGTATCATGTGTTTCGAAATTAATTAATTTTAAATGTAATATTATATTATAGAATTAGAAAATCATATTCGTTCATGGGAACTCCCATTAGATGTGTCGAATGCGATCATGCTGACGCGTGGGGACCTTGCTTTCTCTCATGGATCTTTAAACACAGCATGTACTTTTTGTCGAGAAATATGCACTCGAATTTCAGGTGCTTGGGATGCTTATCGTAAGAAAGCATCCAAGAAAGAACAATCTCCTTCATTATCTTCAACTACAGATTACTTGCAAACAAAACAATTGATTCAAGAAGAATCTTCGGATTCGTCCAAAATAAATGACTTTTCTATCAAAGTACAAACCCCATTAATACTCCCGTTTCGAGTGATTTATTCCATTTCTATGCTTTACCTTTTAGTTGGTTGGTGGAGAGAAGCACGAGTAGAACTTTTAATTATATTAGCAACTATGCCTTTTACGCCTGTAACGCGAGAACACTTTGAGAAAGATGATTGGTGTGTTAACAAGAAGAAAGTTGAAGGTATTAGTTATTATGAAGGAAATAAACAAAATCAATTTAGGCTAATGGAAGTTACGCAAGAAGGTCTTGTGGTGAGGGCAATAAAAGAATTAATGGCATGTTATGAGGTAAAGTTTCTGAATATTGTATTTTTAATGACATTTTATTATTCTCATTCTATTCTTTCCACATCTTATAGGAAGAACTCAGTTCAATTCCACATAATCAACTAGATAACACACTGGGACATATAATAGTATTGACACAATACGGTTGGCCATATTGGCGCGATCGATTGTTTCGGCGGGTGATACTTCCAGGAATTAAAGAACATGGTGGTCTTATCTACCCTGATATGCTACGCTTTGTTTACAGTAAGTAATTTTAACTTATTGATAATAATTTTTAAACATTTCTAATAACTATATCTTTAATATTCCATTATCAACCAATTCAAGATATCGAGATTCTCCGTGAAATTTGTGAATTACATCGAATATTTCCGGATCTCAACTTTTCTCTGCTAAAACAAAGTTCAACTGCCACTGCTTCCGCTGTTCAATTATCAAATTTAAATATAACAAAAACGTCAATACAGGCTTTAGAGGATAAGATTAACCATCCTTCTTCACGAAGCATCAATGAAAAATTAGTGGAATTTTGTAAAGAAAAATTGATTCAATTACAAAGTAATACTGATGGTAACTTATATTCTGGTGGATTTAAAGAGAAGGGCAAAGAAATTCCTAGGAATGACAATAGATATAAAAAAGAAAATTCTTGCGATAATTCAGATTTAATAATAATGGGACAAGATAACATGCAAAGTTCCCAAATGAACATTACAGATAATCAAGAAACACAAAAGAGTTGGAAGATGAACGTTTCATCGATTGTTGCTGAAGACGATATAAATAGTATCTCATCATGTAATTATGGCCATTCGAATGTTATAAACGATGCTACAACAAAAGAAACAAAGAACTTTGAGAATTTGACAAATGCATCATTAACAATAACAGATTTTGTCGGGGAATGTACATCAAAAAGAGAAATAGAGGATTAAGTGAAAAAAAAAAAATGTTCATGTAAACATGTAAATACGTACAAATATAATTCTAAATTAGATCGTTCATTGATTGATTTAATATAAAAATTTCATTGAACTTTATTGAATAAAAATCGTGTACTAATTTGCAATGGTAGAGATTATCAATATTATACGTAATAATGTAATATATATATATATAAATTAAAACAAATTTTATATTAATCTTATCAAATCTTTATGATCACTAGACTTTTATTAATAAAAGAATAATTAATCTTATCATGCTACATTAATTTATTTATATATTTTATTTTTAATACATGTCAAAAAACTAGATCAAAAAAATTTTAAAAAATTTAAACAAATAAATTAATTGTTTTCCTTTATTAAATTATTCGAAAGTTTATAATTAATCCCAATCTTTTTTGATATCAAAAGACTGATTGATTTTAAATAATTATTAGTTTCGAAAGATAATTATAATTAATACAAAGATAAAAATAAAAAATAAATAATGTAACTAACCCAAGACCATTCAATGTGAGTGACACCATCATCGTCGATAAATTTACTCTATTTAATAATTAGTTATAATATTTAATAAAAATGTAATTTTATTTATTTTAAAATTATTTAAAATTTTCACTTACTTTTGCATCATAATGACCACGTGCGAGCATACCGCTTGGAGCTTCTTCTGCTATGAACTATTTCCAAAATTAATAATATTGTACTTATATCGACCGTTTATGTCAAATAAAAATTTGAATTATATTTGTACGTATTTACATGTTTACATGAACATTTTTTTTTTTTCACTTAATCCTCTATTTCTCTTGTTGATTGATAATGATAATGAGCAACAAAACCAAAATTCAATCAAAACTAGTCATGAACTGAATATGGAACAAA